TCTGGATGGTGTTCGGCGTCTGCACAGAATAATTTGTGAATAAAAAGAAAGCTTGTTATACTCAACAAAAATTTAGAGGAAAAAAATCTAATTTGCCTACAATTCTGTCGCTGTTTTTACAAATAAGCTCCCAAACTGGCTTTTAATCTCCACTTTATATGGAAATAACTTCAAGGAACAAGAAGTTCGTGCACGGGCATTTTGTTCGACCATGGCTAGGAGAAATTATTTTGTGCGGAGTTAGGATGGAAAGAACTGTCAGGATTGTTGCATATTTAATGAGTATGTGCCGAGTATTTCTAAATATTCAGTAAATACTCAATCAATCAGCAAATAATTGCAAATTACTTAGCGAATACTCACAATTGAGTATTTGTTGAGTATTTATATTTACGTAGCAAATACTCAGTAAATACGTGACAAATCAGGACGGTTCTTCCCATCCGGAATCCACACAGAATAATTTCTCCTATAGAGGAGACGTTTTCTTTGCATAATTGGAAGAGAGATAGAGAGAGATTTTACTTTTGCACATAATTATGTTTAATAGCCGTTTTAAATTTGCACATAATAATATTTAACGGCCAGCCCTATTGAACTCCAACCATCTCAGGCTAAAATGAAATGGATATAAATTTCATTGATATTAACATCACTATGTCTATGTTTTGCAGGAAATTATAAGGCCTGTAGCAACCAGAAAAGCTGTGGCAAGAGTCTGATGAACTATTTACACGTTATTTATGACCGACGAGCAACTAGCAGGATAAGTAGTTATAGAATAATGAATAGCAAAAAAGAAATAGTGAAGCCTAGAACAAATATAGATCTTATTTCTTGGTCGCAAACTTACGCTTCGTTTGGGGCGGCTTTGTTACTGTTTCTTAAAGCGGCTCTCTAGTACAAAATTTTTAATTTTTGTACTAAAAACCCGTTTTAAGTAGTAAGAAAGCCGTCCCAGACGAAATCTTATTTTCATTATTTTCATGAGTAATCATTGTATCATATATTCTGAAGGTCCCAATGCCACACATATCATAGCAAGAGAGAAATTTCTAACAAAAAATAGTTAAAATGCTAGCTAAAAAAGAGTATCCTACAGTATTTCAGACGCTAAGTAATAGTAAAAATAGCAGTAATTAATGTTGATCTTCACTTATGTTTGCTTGTTTTATGTCCTTAATCACATATTCTTTAGAATGCAGATTTGTCATTACATCCGAGTGATGATTGATCTAACATGACAAATAATAATATTATACAGGTGTGGATGTTGAATATCGAAAAAATTTTCCCCTCATCCAATCAGTACATCTCCTCATATTAAATAAATGTTTAATTAAAAAAAGATCAAAATATTATTATATTTCAGACTGTTAACTCTAACATTGAATGTTATGACAAAAAGATCTCATTTTAGGAATCAAATTTGTTCCTCAAAAAGTTGGGGACCATTTTGGTCCCTCACAAAGAGTTGAGGGAATGTTTTGATCATTTTTTCTTTAGTTTAATTAGTATGCTCTTCAAGAGAGAATTCTACTGCCCTGTCATAAAAATTGTTTTTGTCAATTCTTAAAATTATCATCACCATATGACATGTACATGCAATAATATGAATTTATGTTTGCTAGATCATCCTCTGAATATCAAGTAATTAAAACCTTAGTAAAATGTTTTACCCATAGGTGCTTCAGAGATTCAACATGAATGAGACAAAGCCAATTTGCACTCCTTTGGTTAGTGACTTTTAATTATCCAATGAACAATTGCCTAAATATAAGGCAGAGGAAGAACATATGAAGAAGACCTTTTA